AAATGACCTTTTTTTAGCCTTAGAAAACAAATTCTATTGGATGTTTCTTTACAAAAGGTCATTCGCTTTTTTGTTGTTTTTTTACAACTCAACCCGATCTGCCCATGTGCAGCTAATTTTCATACCGTTTCTGAATGCATTTTTTCCCTTGCTGGTGGAGCATAATTAACAAATTTTAAAGATAAAACAGTCAAACAGGGTTATCATTTTCCTGAGTGCAGGATTCCATGGGACCAACGGGAACTATATAGTAGGCCATTGATTGAGAACAAACGGCGTTTTCTCAGTACAACCACCCTACACACAGAGACACGCACACGGGCACAGACGCAGCTAACAAAAACAAAAAGCCTGGAAATGAGAGCACCAAATGAGGCCTTAGGTTTCTCAGACCATGAAAAATTCATAATTCCAGATCTTTACATGAAACTCTAGAAGGAATTAGGCCTAACAGCGGGAGACGCTGGGAATCGGTTTCAGAATATTTTGCTTTCTCTTTTTCGTCTTTTCTCTAGCTCAGGCTCTCTCTCTCTCTAGTAAACATGCACGTTCACAGAGACACAAATGCACACAGCAGAACACAAGCGCGCACACACAGGGATGCATTCTTATGTTCCATCCTGGGTTTTCCCCTGCGGAGAGTAAGATACTAAATGGTGCAAGTGGTGTCTGGCGTGACGCAGTTTGTCGACACAGCCTTTTGAAAACCGCACTTCTTCAGAAAGAAGGATTTCTTGTCTTCTTTCCTCAAAGAAAAACACGCCTGCAAAGTTCTCTGCTGCTACACAAACAACTCGAGTTCGGGCTCTTGATTCTCGAAATAGGTTGAGCTGTAATTGCTATGTGTTGATGTACTGAAGGTGGACGGCATTTTCACAGTGCAACATAAAATGTACTCAGTGAATAGATGAGCAGCCATGGCCCACAGGCAAGCAGGGAAAAAAAGGTGAGGAAAACCCATTCAGCAACTAACAGAAGACACTGACTGAAAGGATAGAGATAGAGAAAAGGTGGGTGGTAAAAAAAAAAAAAGTCTCATCACTGGTCACACTTAAAGAGAGAGTCTATGAAACACACGGATGAGTAAGCAAGGATAAGATTTTTTTTTAATTTTTTTTTTTAAAGAAAAAGGCAGAGAGAGCAAGGGAAATCTGCCATCACTAGGCTACTGCTAGCAGCAGGAGGGTCTTCGATACAAAACAACCCCAGACACAGTCAAAGACTTCCTTTCACACACTCCCATGAACGCCTGTCCGCGCACACAAGCCATGCACATAGAGTATGCTCACACACACAACACACACAGAAAGCAAACAGAATGCTGCACTGTCTGACTGAAAAAAAAAATCTTTCTCTGTGTGTGTGTGTGTGTGTGTGTGTGTGTGTGTGTGTGTGTGTGTGTGTGTGTGTCTGCATATGGCAGTAAGTGTGACAGTCAGTGAGCTTGTCCAGTCCTAGTGGAGTGATCAAAGCTAGTACAAACCACCCAGAGAGATCTCCCTTCCTCATCCATTCATCCTTTCGCTTTCTCACTTTATCTCCCTCCATCTCTCTCTCACACCCTCTGATGCAGAAACGCCATCATACTTACCACGCAGAATCTGCTCAACCAATTGCACAGCGCTGGCTTGAGCAGCACAGCCAATCAAAGTGGCCTATTTAGTTCCAATAATTCCCAGCTGCCCCCCTACAAGCACTGAACCCTGGATGGCGGCACTACACCATAGGACAGGGACATAGCATAATGGGAGACAGCATGGGAGCCCTGGCAATATTATAATGCCGAATGTGCACACACACATGCAATGAAACGCCACATGAGCTCGGAACTCTATGACAGTGCCAAGTTCGCACAAACGCGCAAACACACACACACTCCACAGGAGTTCTCTGAAACCGTCCCCAACCTGCCAAGTTTATGAATGCACACAGCTCACAGGAGTCGTGTAAGCCCAACTTTACAGTTCTGTACCAACACATTCACATACATATGCAACTACACACCAACAGTTCTCTGTAGCTATAGAGCACAGCTTTAAACGAAGTGAGAAAGCATCCTGAAATAGATCTGAATGTTCAGTTTAAAGAAACATGTAAGCTGTAACACAACAAGCTGCCACACAAATGCACGAAAAGTTGAATTGTAGAACCTAGCTACACAGCACCTGAGTCATCGTGGGTTTTTTTTAAAAGTGGACTTCTGAGACTTTGTGCAGCAATCTTGACATCCATTCATTCCAGATCAAAATGTAAGGGGGCTTAGCTAATGGCTTTAAAAGGCACAACTACTTGCACTCAAGCTGGCATGAGAGGATTTCAACTAACACTCTCCTCTGATTGTACTGTATGTGCACATGTCAGTGTGTGCACAAGCGCCTTTGTGTATGAGAGACTTCTCCACAGCCCAATACACTTTCTACCGTGCTGCACAGCTAGGAGAGACGTCTGCAGGCCAGATTAAATGACTGAGAGCTAAAAAATGAATGAATAAATCAAAGGTTCATAATTAAAAGCTTAAGGGAGAACTAAATGTGAAGTAAAATAACTTGGCTTGAACCCTTTGTGTGAAATAAGTGTACTCAAAATGGATTTAAAAAAAGAAAAAACAAAACAAAACAGCTTCCCTCTATTTGAGAAACCTTTGTGATTCATTACGATCAGATTTGAATCAAAAGCAGCGCCAGCATCATTCCCACAAACACCATCATCCTGAACATCGTTAGTCATGACTTCAAAAACAAACTCTGCTATTAAACTCGCCAAAAACCACATATTCCACTGTGGAGTACAAACTAGAGGCCAACAGCTGGCCCTAAGACATTCAATGATGCATGAGCTGCAATGGACGGAAGAATAATCTGGTTAGAACAACTGGATGTATTTTCGTGTTCCATGTACACGGAACGATGTTTGGGATTTGAAGGAGGTTCTCTCCCACTGATCCACAGACAGGATCAGCTAGGTACACAAAGACCCCCACCCCCCCCCTCAGTTAAGTTGTGTTTGTGTGTTTTACCCCATTCAATAGAACAGCTAATGAAGTGACTCCTCTCACACAAGGAAACGACTTCAGAGACACGAGCCAAGTTGGTTGTGAACAGTGACAGAAAAAAAACACACATAACAGCTACGCCAAATGGATGCGGAAGAGGAGAAGCAGAGGATTCAAAAGATTTTTTTTCTTTTAAATGAGGGCAGAATGCGAGAAAAACGACACTTTTCAGGACTGTGAAAATATACACGTTTCTTCTCCTTAAAACGCATCAACAGTTTAAGCTTCCAATTATCAGATTTTACAATGAAAGTTAAATTGAGCCGCGTATTGGCACCGATGTGCAATTTATCAAAGGTTGGTGAAACCCTGCTCAAATCGTGTCCCCTAAATTGAAATGTATCGATTTAACAGTAAACCAATGGAGAACGGTTATAATGAATGTTAGCGGCAGTTACTGAAAAGCTGTTCCCCAGGGCAATGAGAGAAAGGTGGCAGCAACATCATGTCCAATTACTACCCAGATTCGGCACAAAAACCTGAGGCTAATCTGTAATGTCAATACTAATGTATGCACTACATCCTTGTGTAGCATATGACAGTTACTCTAGGGAATACTCTAGAAGTTTTTCAAGTGGAATTATTAGTTTTATGGCAGAGGCTGAAGCTTTGCGTGAATTCTTTATAAGAAACTATAGGGTCATAGCTAAATAGAAGACAAACATCGAGCAAGAGTGGCTTTAAGAAGGTCAGCTTTTAAAAAGGTGGTGGTGAATAAAGCTGTGTCGTAAAACAGCACCGGGGCTGGGCATTAATTCTTTTGGAGGAACATTAACAGGGCACAAGTTCTCCCTGAGAAGGTCAATAAGAATGTGAAAGCTGGAAAGATGCGTCTGGTTTCAGCATTTTCACGAATCCCACATGGTTCATGATAAATTTAAAAAAAAAAATCCTATCCAGGAGAGCATCCGGTTAAAAGTTGGGCTGCTTGCAGTGTATGACCCGCGACATTCCCCACAAACACCGGCCATAGTGGGTGGTTGCTTCTCACTCTTCAGAAATATCACTTTAATATCCCCGTTATGCGGGCGTATAGTAAGTAACGGCTCTAATACTCAGCACCGAAACATCTTTACATTATGTGTTTGCGCTATCTTTGGATTCTGCTTAATCCTGCTGGGCTGTATTACAGTCCTCACTTTCAGCCCATTCCTTCTGCCTCCTTCCGATTGCGTTATGAGATCCATAAGACTGTAATTGCCTTTAACCTTCTGGCGGCGCAGTGTTCGTGACTTCTGATCGGTCTTTCAATCGGAGCAATGGACCTTCGTTAATTTTAACGAAGTACTGCGCAATTAATGCACTAGTCGCCCAATCAGAGATTCTCCAGCCCTGCCTGCCCTTCACGGTGTTTTCACATTAATGTAACTGCATCTGCGCATAGTTCATTTGTCCGCTCAGAACTGAAACAGAACTGGCAGAAAATCCCCGCAATATTCTGTTCTGCCCGCGAGGTCCCACGATACTGCTCGCGAGTTTTGCAATTATATTCCTATTTATCTGGTTCTCAATAGTGGGTCAAGTGCACGTTTCTCTGTGTATTAAGTCTAATTTTAAGTCGTTTTTCTACACAGCAGGCTGTCGTTTTCGGTCTTCCCGGATTAATTAGCCTATTAGTCGTATTTCCCTGGGAAGAAAAAAAAGTGGGCTGTGAGTTTAGCTGCTTTTCAGCACACTTCAAGCGGCCAAGAAAATGCGCATACACAGTTTACACATTAAGATGCTGACCATATACTAAGCTAGTCTTCTACTCTAAGTCAATTTAAATGGAAATATGGCCAAAAAAAAGTATATCTCCTTGTTGAGGGGATACTTCTCTGGGTCTACTAATTGACATGCCGCCCATACCACTTAAACGCACCTCGGCAGTGAAGGAGAAGGCCCATCACTTTCAAACGTGCAAGGTGTAATTAAAGCGCTTGACAGAAGACGCGCTCTCACGCCTTACCTTGAGCGACTCCTGCGTGTATTAGCACCAGGACAATCAGGATCCTCGGCGTGGCGCTCATTCTCACCAGGCTGGAGCTCCCGAGTACTATTCCACTTCTCTGTCCACTTTTACCCATTACAGGCAACGCGTAATACACATAAACTCCTCCGTCCACGGTGGGTGAAACGAGAACCCACCCCCCAACACGTCCTCCACAACAGGATCTGCTGGTTGATCAGACGTGTCCAAGACCAAAGCGGCTGGTGTGTAACTTCTAGTCCCGATGTCTAAGTCCGTCTCAAAAGGCGCGGGGCGAGCTGTGATAGCAGAGGTGGAAACAGCCACGGGCTCCCTTCACTCGTGTCAGCGGCACTGCTGCCTTGCCACTAAGCTCTCTCCGTGCGTTCTCTCCTTCTCCACCGTCTCTGTTTACGCAGAGAGAAATGCCACCGCCCTCTGGCTACCATGCGAGACCATGTTTCTCCCTCTCTTCTCTTCTTTGCTTCCCTTTCCCTGTCTTTCGTGAACGTACACACGAAAATACGAAATGCAGATAAAATCTCAGCTCACGCGTTTCACTTTTAATGACACGTCTGAACAGCGTTGTGCTCGTGGCAGGTGCGTTCTTTCACTCTAAAGACAGTGAACAGACTTTAAAGAACCTTGTATTTCCTCCTAGATGCTAAAATTTAGGAGAGAGGGAGTAGTTTAACTTTTTTCTTTACTTTCTTGGATTTTTTTATTGACCATCTAATGATTGCACGTGTACGAGTTTGTGCGCCTTCAAAATCTCTCAGTGTGGAGCAAAGCAAGGATAGGGTTTCTCGAGAGCTTAGTTTACCGACTAATGCCTGCCCCCTGACGGCCACGTCCGTTGGACCTGCATGAAGACATATCAGTGAGAGGTATAATTCAACAACAGCTTCTTTTATTGCTATTGGGTTAAACAGAATAGATGGATTATTTGATATTCGCAAGGAATAACTGATTGTGCCTGTGACTGTTCGCTTTTCCCTCATTCTTTTGACCACATTTCTGCCCCTCTAGTGCCAGGTGCGTGTACCATAAATCCAAGTGTTGTTGTGACCCTCGGACTCAGTTGCTCTTTGAACTACTGAACATCCACTTCTTCGTGATGTGCATCATCTTAAAGCAGACTACTAGAAATAAGTGATCACTTGCCATAGAGACGAGCACAGGAATTTATTCAAAAATGAATGCCTGAATGTAAGATTTTATTAAAAGCAAAATGAGAGACCGTTCACCTTAAAAGGAGAACTCCTTCAGTGCCACTTCCCATAGATGTGCTAGAGAATAATGAACTTTCAAATAAAATTATGCAGTAGCAATAACCACTTGAATTTTGCACTGCAATCCTTTAATAGTTCTACATTTGCGGACTTAAGTGTCAAAACTTTTTACAAGGCTACATCTAGATTCTTATTCCATTTTGTCAAAAGTACAACCAGGTATCATGTGCATCTTTAAGCACTATATGTAACCAGTGTCACCTTAAAGTAGCTGAATAATAAGGAGGAAAAATGCTTAAGTCACTAACAGACTCAAAATAAACTCTACACACATATCAGTATGTGTGTTTTCAGCACGCACACACACACACACACACACTTACAGCTACCATAACTCTCGACAGTGTTGCTGTGCAGTCATTTGAGCAGCACAGCCTGGATCATGCATTGTAAATGGCAATAGTAAAATATGCGCTTGGTGCCATTTGTCACCACAGCAGCCCTGCAGCTCAGTGACTACCAGTGGAAGTAGCTGCTACCCACAGGGACCTGTAAAAGCCTTTTTATTCTGCCACTTTATTGGGAATGGGAAAGCAATAAGTTACCCAAGAAACATATGGTACACTTAGATATGGATCGGGACTTACCCCAGCAACAGTCAATGGGAAAGGGATTCTCACAGTTCCATGTGGCCGTACAACACATTCATATTTTGTATACTCATAGTCTGCCAGTGGCTTAAATGTGTAAGGAGAGTATTACGGCAGTTTTGGCAGCATCTCAGTAAATCTGGTAACATTTGCCTCTTCCTCAAAATTTCCTTTGGAGCTACGTTCTCTCAGATTTATTCATGAAAATGTGGAGGCCACCAGCAGTATATGTTTTGATTTCCCTCATTCTTTTGACCACATTTCTGCCCCTCTAGTGCCACCACTGCGTGAAGATGAAGGTGCGTGTACCATAAATCCAAGTGGTTTTTGTTTTTAAAAAAAGAGGTATTATTGGATTCCTTCAAGTCAAGTTGAAAGCATTGTGATGTCAGCCTTGCCCATACTGGATATTTAATCATTTTGGCTTTAACGACAAAGTTTAAGAATTGATACAGCCCTCTTTTTTCCCCATACTTTCCAAAAAAAAACAAAAAACAAATATAATCCTATTGAGATGAGGTTTTCTCAAACTCATATGGATTTCTGATTTTAAGTTTTAGTCTGTCACAGACAAGATAAATTGACTCAGGACCCCATTTTCAGGAAGCACAAACAAATAATAATAATTATAATTTGCAGTTAGTATTTCTCCAATAGGGGGCGCAGCAACAACCGTGTTTGATTTAAACAAGGCTCAATCATGTCAGCTTGTCTTACAGGCTGTGAATATTTGGACCATACTGAAGGTTTCAGTTTTTTTAAATGAAAAACCTGATTTAATTTGTTGCAGCCACTTTTACTTTTAACTTAATTAGATGCAACTGATATAACAAATGTCCCAGATTGCTGCTTGTACTAAATTTTGTGACTGTTATTTCACTTTGTGAATAACTCTTCCACTTAAGATTCATTTTTCATTTCATTTCATTCATTTATTTATTCATTTTCAGGCACAACAAATACCTATATTGAACATAAAATACACAAAACAAAAAACAAAACTTGCCTGAAAAAGGAGTGGGACGAAGAAAACTTATTAAATCCCACCCCTATACTCACTCATCAACATCAAGATGTAAGAATTAAGACTGTATGTGTGCATGCATGTGTGTGTGTGTATGTGTGCGTGCACGCCCTGTCAGCCTCAGGGCCTAAATCTGTAGCTCCTACAGGACTTTGTCGCATTGTCCCTGTCTCTTTTTTTTTTCTTTGAATGAGAGGATCATCAAAGACAATCCAACATCACTATATTCATGTTTTTCATCATTACTGAACTAACGACACTGTGTCTAGAAAGTTGAAGACATTTCCCATTGGTTGCCTGCGCCTGTAACCCACAGCATCAAAGCGGCTCCGATAATGAGAGCGGGAGACAGCGCTGAGGAAGACTGGAGATGATATCTTGATAATCCAGAGAAGAGGCTCAAAGAAAGGTGCTTTACCACGTAGAGCCTTAAAAAACAATCTGTTTTTAACATCAGTACTGCTTTTAGTGTTGTATAAGATAAGATAAGATAAGATAAGATAAGATAAGATAAGATAAGATAACTCTTTATTGTCATTGCACAGTCATACATAGTACAGTAGTACAATGAAATTGGAAAAACTGTCCTACGTCGGCACTACATATAACACAACACGACACGATATGACACATCACAACGTAACAAACAACACAACACAGTATATTAACTTAGTATAAAAAAGAAGAATAAGTGTATGTGTATTGCACACTGTTATTATTGCACATTAATTATTATTGCACCTTGTTATAAATATAAATATTATTGTTATCGTTTTAAACATTGTTACCTCCCCCTAAAAAGTCCAGGGAGGTATCCAGTCAGGTCAGCTATTTACATTGATCAGGGCTATTGCCCTGTTGTAAAAGCTGTCCTTGAGTCTATTTGTTCGGGACCTCAGCAGCCTGAACCTCCTGCCAGACGGCAGCAGCTTAAACACCCGGTGTCCTGGGTGTGTGCAGTCCCGTAGGATGCTGCGTGCCCTCTTGAGACAGTGAGTGCTGTACAGGTCCTTCAGGGAGGGAAGAGGATGTCCAATGATTTTTTGGGCCGTGTTGATGACCCTCTGGAGTGCCTTTGTATTTGTATTTGTATTGTATTTATTTATTTATTGTCATTGTCAAGAACAATGAAATTGCGTTTGGGGCTTCCATACAACCCAAAAAAAAGAAGAAAATAATAAATACCCCTTAAAACCCAAGTGTACATATTTAACCCAGTGTGACTCCAATGCAATAAGACAATCCTTAGCAATAATGTTCGTAGAAATTCAGACAAAGACCTGAGAAACATGACAAAATACAACAATGCAACCCATTCAATATTATTGTACTGTGAGATATGATATCAGATATGATAGTTATCTATTTAAGAAAGAGGGGGGGGGGGGGGGGGGGGCAGGAGGGGAAGAGAATAAAGATATGATGCACCAATGCAGACCAGTTCATTGCTATTAAGAAGTTGGATATGGTTATTGTCCGTGAGAGGGGGGCAGAGAGTTCAGGAGCCTCACAGCCTGTGGATACAGGCTGTTGGCCAGTCTGGATGTTCTGGCCTGTATAGACCTGTACCTTCTCCCTGAGGGCAGCAGATGGAAAAGGTGGCGCGCAGGGTGATGTTGGTCCCGCAGGATACTGTGCACCCTCCTCAGACAGCGAGTGGGGAAGATATTACTGATCTCTGGCAGACTTGTTCCAATAATTCTGCCAGCTTCTTTCACCACCCGCTGGAGTGCTTGCTGATCGGCCTTGGTGCAGCTGGGGAACCACACTAGAAATCCATACGTCAGAACGCTGCTGATGGCACAGTTGTAGAAGTTCAACATCAGAGATCTGGGAATGTGTGCGCTCCGCAGTCTCCTCAGGTAGTAGAGGCGCTATTGGGCCTTCCGTACAACTGAGGTGATATGGTTGCCCCAGGACAGGTCCTCGGTCACAGTTACCCCCAAGAATTTAAAACTGCTCACCCTCTCCACCGCCTCACTGCCAATGAAGAGAGGCAGATGGTTGTTATGGCCCCTCTTCCGGAAATCTACAATGATCTCCTTGGTCTTTTTGGTGTTTAAGACCAAGTTATTGTCGTGGCACCATGACTCTAGTTGTTGCACCTCTGTCCTATAGTTTGTCTCATCATTGTTGGATATAAGTCCGAGCACTGTAGTGTCATCTGCAAACTTAACAATGAGATTGGACGCGCAGGAGGAAATACAGTCATGGGTGAAGAGAGTGTATAGCAGAGGGCTCAGAACACACCCCTGAGGGGCACCGGTGTTGACCACAAGGGTGGAAGAGGTGTTCTTACCCACTCTGACACTCTGTCTACGGTTAGTGAGGAAGTCCACAATCCAGTTGCACAGAGAAGAGTTAAGTCCCAGTTGGTGGAGTTTGGGACGGAGTTTGTATGGCCGGATGGTATTAAAAGCCGAGCTGTAGTCTACAAAGAGGAGCCGTGCATAGGTGTTCCTGTGTTCCAAGTGCTTCAGTAATGTGTGCAGCACTGTGGCGATCGCATCCTCGG